TTCTACTCCCCAGTGGCATGAACTACAGCTGATAAAATATACTCTACTGCATGCTCCACCCATTGGAACATCTCAGTGCCCTGGCATTCTGAAAATTACTAACTCTGCTGCAAGGAGGAAGAAATCTCTTACAGGGAAAACCCTACTGGGAACCTCGTAGGCTGACATCTGATGGAACTGTACTTAAATTTTGATAATATGATGGGAGAAAAGAAGCTGGTTGGTCACTTTGTGTTTTATAACTAGTTAAGTATGAATGTTCCAAGTTACTTTATTGAATAATCCTAGTTATCCCATTTTATATTACAGTGTCTATCATTAAAAGTGTTGTAATAGAGACGCTAAAGTTACAACTGTGATGGTTCATTCATCACGCTGTAGGGGATGGTTTAGTGGATAAAACTCCAGCTTTTACCAACTGTAACACTCTTTACCCAGAGGTTAATATGTAAGTGGCATTGACTCAGCAGTTCATTGTCTGAATGAAACTAGTTCCATAGAGTTTACTCAAATGGGTGGAGGGTCCTTTGGACAATGCCTTGGGGGAGGGGGAGGGGAAAAGACAAAAAACCCTGACTAAATAATGAAGATTCTTAAACTTCTACAAACTTAGAACTTGCCCCAGTTGCCTGGAAGCAAAAGCCATGAAGAGTCAAAGGAAATTCTGACAGTCTTAAAATTCCTGATCTATTCTGGCTAGCCTTTTCTTCTTTATCATTAGCCTTCCATAATTCAATTCAGTCTTCCCCTATGCTACTTCTTTTCATTCAACTGTTTAATACTTTATAATTTAGATGTCCATAATAATCTCATTATTTTCTTGGCCATTCTCTAAATTTGTAATCTTAACACTTATACTCAAATCAGTCTACTCCTCCACATAACAATATGAATTACTATTTCATGAATGACTTTTAATTTATGACTTTATCAATTACTTTACAATGACAACTTATGAATGTTTGAAGTTTGTTAAAATAATGCTGCCTCTATGTAAATCTGCTAATAAGTAATAAAATGATCCCACCTTTATAAAGTTACATTCTTAAAATTTTATCAGCTATATTTGTAATAACTTGAAATCTCTATTCCAGTTGTAATCTCAAAATATATGCAGTACCCACTATATGCTAAATATTATTCCCAGAACTTGACTACCAAGCTAAAAAAATATTTCCTGCTCCTGCTGTGTCTAAAATCTTGACAGAAAATCAAAAACTAGTCTTAAGTGATTTTACCATGGATGGAACTTTAAAGTGCCTAAATATAGATGAGTTCTCTCAGTGAACTCTGAGAAGTGATATTTTAGAGAGACTTGAAGCCACTTATTTCTAAATGATGGCTTCACAGAGTCTGATATTCAAATTTGAGCACCTAAGCTTGTCTAAATCTCTATATTTTAGGGAAATATTTAAAAGGTAAGTGATATATGGTTAGTTCTACCAGATAGGACTACTGGAATTTAAGAAACTGAAAGGATGAAATTAATATTAACATAAACAAATTTTATTCGTACCACAAGATTTTCACATGAAAATTTCCTCTTTTACTTTTTTCTTCTACAAGCCCATTCCAAGATTTCATCACTACATTCTTTGCTGTCATCTTTCAGACATTATCAATCTTTCTGATACATACACACTACTCCTCCTTCTACTCTTCCTGTCTTGTAGATGGGATTGCTTCCATATATGCTGACATTCTCGTTATGACAACGATCCAGCCCTCCCTGTTCCAGCTACCTCTGCCATTAGATCGCTATCTCCTTTTTTAATACTCATTGCTAATTGTATTTGCTTATTTCCCACACATAATGCATGATGTGGCCATTTTAGTACTAGTTCATTCCTATTGTATGATTATATGGAATTCTTCTGTGTGTTAATTCATGCTCTCTCTATAATTTCATTGCAATTTACCAGTATCTGCATATTTTGTTCTCAGCTTATCCAGGTTGATATTAAAGAGGTGGAAGTATAGCAATCTTTGGTTATTTCTTAAATATTCTCAACTTTCGGGCCCTCCCTGGTGGCACAGCTGGTTAAAGCACAGTACTAAGCCACTAAAGTGGCTAAAGCCACTTCAGCATGAGTTCGAACCTGCCCTCACCAGAGGTGATCCATCCACATGGCGCAGCAGACCTCTCCTGACCCTCCCACTGCTCCCCTCAGCAGTGTACTTCGTTGATCTGCCTGTTCTGCTCCCCACTCTGTCTCTGGTGAATCATCTAACCGCCCCTGCACCTTTGGCCTGTACCCCATTTCTGTATGCACAAATAAATAAATCTTTAAAATAAAAAAAAAATCTTAACTTCCAACAAATGTCCCAATATGCTAATACTTCCTTGTTGTGACTGCAGGGCTATGTATAGGGCTGTTATGCAGCATTAAATATATCTTTGTAGCTAGTTAAAGGCATTAGAGTTAGAATACAAGGCAAAAAAAAAAAAAAGAAAGAAAGAAAAGTCTTGTTCCAGTCTTCACTCAAAATGTCTTCCAGCCAGAATGAGGAAGGTAATTGGCCAATTGCCTAAAATAACCATGCACCTGACTGGCGCCCTCTGCTGGTACAATGGTAGCATATGTAGGATGGCTGGACTCCTGAGTCTCAAGACTGTCCATACAGTGGCCCCAGGACCTTTTAATAACCGTTTTATTAATTAAATATTCTTAATTATTCTTTCTCATCCCTTCCTTTATTTACCTCGTCTTTACCTATCTGATTTTTAAAATATCTATACACAATGTTGATTTCACAAAGGTCTATAAAGTATACAGGAGAACTAAAGGATGATGATATTGTTGACATAATGATTTGTGATATAATGTTTGATTTGGTCATAAAAATGTCATTTTCCATTTCTTTCTTTTTTTTTTACATTTTAAAAAAGGTTAGGTTTACTAGGAAAGGGAGGAAAAGAAAGAAAGGTACCTGCATAGTCACAGGAGGTCAAGAGAGCCCGTGTTCCTGCTTTGTCAAGGGAAAATGTTTGTGAAAAGAAACACCTGCAGAGTCGCAGACAGGCAGGAAAGCTGCTCATCTGTCATTTCTTATAAAGTATAAGCATGAATGCATACTACTAGAAGAAAGTATTTATTCAATATTATAATTGAAAATAATTGATAAATGGGAGCCAAGATAAGTTGGGAAATATTATTTATACTTTGATAACATTAGGATTAAGTACCATAAGCTTAAGAAAATGTAAATGTCTCCCTGCTTCACATTAGGAATGGACACAGATAACCACTCATATTCCTCTCTATGCACCAAATTCTGAGTCTTATGTGTGAATCAAAGTGTTTCTAAAAAAAAAAAAAAAGTCAGCACAGTGTTTGTCTTTCATGAATATATCAATCGCTGCAACAGTATTTCACTTAATATTCACATACGGTCTGAAAAAGTTTACTAATGTTCTAAAACTTTTACCTCTGTAAGTCCCATGAAAATTTTTGTATTTTTGGGGCCCTCTCTGGTGGGGCAGCGGGCTAAAGCACAGCACAAAGAGGCTTAAGCCATTTCCACATGAGCTCGATCCCCGCCTGCCCCGGAGGTGACCACATGGCGTGGCAGACCTCTCCTAACCCACCCGTTGCTCCCCTCAGCAGTGTACTTCGTTGATCTGCCTGTTTTGTACCACACTCTGTCTCTGGTGAATCCTCTCACCCTACGCATCTCTGGCCTGTACCCCAGTTCTGTACAAATAAATAAATAAATCTTTAAAAAAAAATTTGTATTTTTGAATTAGAAATTTAGTAGCTCTGATTTCTTAGAAATATAGGAAGTGTGGTTATATTTACTATGTAGTGACATTTTTAAAAAGGGATATTGGACTTCCCTGGTGGTGCTAAGTCTCAGCACTATGAAGTTATCACCAGCCACTGAAGCACGAGTTTGATTCCCATGCAGGGAGCTGACCTACATGCCAGCAGCAGACCTCTCCTGTCTCGCCCGCTGCTCCCCTCAGCAGTGTATTTCGGTAGATCTGCCTGTTCTGCTCCCCACTCTGTCTCTGGTGAATCCTCTCACCCCCCTCACCTCTGGCAAACAGCCCAGCTTTTGTATGAATAAGTAAATAAATAAATAAATAAATAAAATCTTTAAAAAGGGGGAAGGGGATATTTCTGTTTTTATCCTATAAGGAGGCAAATTTCTCTACCTGAAGTCATCACATATATATTGTGTGTTCCAGAAAAGGCCCTATATTAGAATAAAAAATTAAATTAAATTATGGTTGAAACTAATTTAAACTGTTACTATTCTCTTCATTGGAATAACTTCTTCTGGAATGTTTACTCTCTCTTTACTGTCTGTTTCATACCTAGAAATTTAAGTGTAAAGCACAGAAGTTACCAATAGCTTTCAACTGACAAATAAAAAGGGCTCTTATGCAAGCCTTGGATAAAGTAAGAATCTCGAATCACAATTATCTGAAATGTAGAAAAACTATTAAGCAAGAGTAAAGGTAGATGTAAAGGGTAAAATTACTTTCTATGTTTGGATACAAAACAATTACAGAAAAACCTAAGTCCACTAAATGAGAATCCATTGATTTTTTCTGTTTCTACTTGGGTCCATCTAGAGTCAATTCTCCCAGATACAGTGTATAATGTTTTATATATATAATCAGATTGTGTCAGTCTCCTGTGCTTAAACATCTTGGCTTATATAACAGTCATTATCATGGTCTACAAATTCTTATGGAATCTAGCCCTCATTATCTTTTCAAGAGCATTTCCCAGTGTCCCCAAAACTCACTCATGTTTAAGAGCAATCGTGACTGTTCCAGAAACTGGCAAAGTGCACATTTGCTCATGTTTAACCATTTGGGTTTCCATAGAGAAGTGATCAGTGTCATATGGGTGCAGTGGATCACATGATGATTGCCAGAGACAGAATCCAGTTGATGGAGGTAAATTATCTCACACACATGTCAGCACTTCAGGCAGGACTTACTCTGCTGATGACATTCCACCCAGTAAAAGCCACTAAGCACTTACCTGTAGCCACTATGATGATATCTGCCAGCTGAGTATGGATCTTCAGTTGTTCTTTGGGAGTATATCTGTGAGCTATCGTCACAGTTGCATCACCTGGAAGACCAAAGAACTTCCATTAATGATGAATGAGTTTTTCCAAGTTTTCTGGACATTCAATTTTGATAGTTTCAGCTATATCCTAGGAATAGGAAAGAGGCTTTGAAATGACTGAATCACTTTAGAGCAAAAACTAGAGACGAAAGTCTAGATGACATTAAGTAGTATGTGCTTTAACTGAACCAGTGTAAAATCATATAGAAAAAATGAGGGTGGGTGGAGACCAGAACAAAACAAAAGCAAGGCTCTAGAAACCTAGGAATCAAAAACAGGTCAGTACATAGGTACAGGAGATACTCACTGCTTGGTATTAACATATATATAAACACTGAAGACACAGGTAAGCATGCTGAAAACTGTCTTGTCTATGGCCTGTGTCATAGACAAAAGAATAGCTTTGTCATAAGGAGGTGTCAAGGAAGGGTTCTTAGAGTATTCTGTTCATAGTGCTTGATGATAAGTACCTGGGCTACTGCCTTTGAAGTAGTGAACACCTTATTTAGGCAAGACTTAAGTTTACTAGCAGTCTAACCATCTGACAGGCTGGCCTTCCTTTTGTTTTCCAAAAGGCGGCACAGTAGAACAAATACTTCCATAAAAACAAAAGCACATGACTTAGTCCAATTATAAGAAACTTGTTCCTTTTCAGAACTAAAGTTTCTCTCTCTCTCTCACTCTTTTTTTTTTTTTCAATTTCTACCAAGATTCTACATCTATTTTTGATGGCAAGACATAACAAGTCTCAACTTCTTTTTCCATGAAACAAATATTCAAGTATCTACTCATGACTACCTCAGCATATAAAGCAAAACAGCAGATCCAAAAAGAGCTAGCAGGTTTTGCTTTGTCATTTTATGTGGAAAAGGAAAGACTTAGCCATTATCAAGTTAAAAGACAAATCACAGGAAGTAAGACCCAGCGCTCATAACAGCACTGGTGAAAAAGATGTCTGAGTTCTGGTTTTAAGCCAGTGCCTCCAGAGTCGATTTGAATATATGTATATTTTTTGCACCACAAGCTTCTACTACATCTTTAAGCAAGAAAGAAGGACAGAAGCAAGCAACAAGGCAATCAAATAAATAACTGTGGAGAAATTCGCTATGGAAGCCAAAATGGCACAATCAAAACTGATGTGATGAAAGCCCTTACATAAGAACTTATTATATGTCTAGCACATTCCTAGTACTTTATATGTGTCAAAATACTATGAGAGTATTTTTTAATGAGGCAGAAACAGATTATTTACATTTTACAAATGAGAAAACTGAGAAACAAAAAGTCTAATAATTTGTCCCCTGTAATACAAATGATAAAAGTGCCAGAACTCAGACTCACTTCGTCTAACTCTAGTGCCTAAACTCCAAATCATTTCACTATACAATCTCCATGTTGGGTAGAAAGAAAAACAACTGTTTGAATTTACAATTATAAAACCAGAGGTAGCACATATGTGTCTTCACTGCTATCAGTTGAGTAGCATTTCTGTGGTTAACATCCTGACTCTTACAGGAAGCCATTGTAAAATCTCAGTGTACACTTCTTTGTCCTTGGCAATAATTCTACCTTGAGAATTTAGGATACATCAGTAGTACTGATAAGAAATCATCTACTGACAGAAAGCACATATGCCTTTAAAACAGAAAATGATGAGGCCATTTCACAGATCTTAAAATAATACTGCAATCTTGATACCTGATTTGTATTTATTATGCCTTCTAGTTTGATTTGAGGTGTTATTTCTATATTAAGTTCTATATTAAGTTGTTCAAATAATTTTAGACATAGCTAAGCACACTAAGATTTGAGCCTTCTTTTCATGCCTAAAATGAACCAGGCTTTAACTTGTATCAGGTGAAGCGCTGGCTGGTCTGACTTCCTTTTTATCAGCCCTTCAGTTATCATACAATCACATTGGGCCACTAAGTAAATTACAACTAAGAAATATGACTCCACACGATTAGTCAAATGACATTTGAAGCTAACTCCTATAAAAAAAAACTACCTCAGAGTTCCTTTGAGAGAAAGATGATTAAGAAAGGCCAACTGCGGCCCTCCCTGGTGGCGCAGCAGGTTAAAGCGCAGCACCGAGAAGCTAAAGCCACTTCCGCATGAGTTCGATTCCCGCTGGCCCCGGAGGTGACCACATGGCATGGCAGACCTCTCCTGACCCGCCCGCTGCTCCCCTCAGCAGTGTACTTCATTGATCTGCCTGTTCTACTCCCCACTCTGTCTCTGGCGAAGCCTCTTGCTGTCCCTGAGCCTCTGGCCTGTACCCCAGTTCTGTATGCACAAATAAATAAATCTTAAAAAAAAAAAAAAAAAAAGGCCAACTGAGTCTAGACTAGCAGACTCTAAATATTTTTAAAACCTGGGGAAGGCTGTAGGGAGTACAATTAAGAGTGAACGTTGTGTATGGTAAGTTTGAAATGCCTTTTGGTCTTTGGAGGGGAGCTATTATGTGGACAATCCTTAAATATAGAGTATACAGCACACATGGGGGAGAGATATCTGATAATTTAGGGCTGGAAAGTAGGTGTAGGGAATGACTATGGAAAAAGAAATTAAGTTCTGGGCTCACTTAAATGTTTTAAAAAGTTGTCCTTTACCCTAACTACATTAAAACCTTCTATAGAATTTCTAAATACTGTGACTTCATTGTTCTGCAAGGTGCAATATTTTTTGGAGTCTTCAGATGATTCCAATGGAAGTTAGGGTTGAAAACCACTGGCTTAATGGCTGGAAACAGGAGAATGTTCCAGAAATGAGAAGAAATATCTACTGTGATGAGGAAAATGATTGCCATTGGTAGTTCTACTCTGTGCTTAAGCAATAAAAAAAAATACCTTACAAAATGTGGCCATTCCTTCCTCCAACTAAGCTTTTTAAAGAAAGTTCTACTCCTTTGTAGCACCTGGAACAATTACAAGGAGTTGATCATTCAGGCTTAATTGTTAAATGACTATCTCTCTTACTGCACTGTAACTTAAGAGAACAGGTAAAGGTATGATCTATTTACCATTATATGTGTCATGCTTAGTGACAAGAGATCAGCCCTCTGTAAGAAGACAGCACCATATACTAACAGCTAAAAAAAGTCAAATCAAAATGATAGAACCCCAATGTTTGACCAGGAAAACTGAAATATATTTAAGTTAAACTTCTTTTCCTCTTTCCAGTATCGTGAGGTACTTCTCTTCTCTTCCTGAACCATTTATGATGATTCTTGGCAGAGGGGGATACTTAACTTCTACTTTTATATAAATGCCTGTAATTTTAAAACAGGAAGGACTTAGTATGAGAATTTAGCCACTTCTCTCCCTCTTCCCTTCCTTCCTGCCTCCCAGTATTTTTCAATAAAGGGCATTTTACTTTAAATCACTCTGCTATTGTCTGACTTTTTGAAATACTTGCATAGTACTTGGCACATAAGGGAAACTAAACAAACTCTGGATAACTGACTAACTAGTTGCATTATTACCAACTATTGCCACATTCTATTATGCAACAAAATCTAATAAGACAATGAAACTAAGGGAATTGTGCAAAGTGGAATAAAAAGGAAAAAGACAAATACCATAAGATTTCCTTTATATGAAGACTATAAAGAAAATAAGCCAAAACAAAACAAAACCTAGAAACCTGACTACAGAATAAAACTACCAGAGGAAACGCGTAGGGAGTGGGGGTTAAAGAGGAGAGGGTTCCAAATGGACTGTGGTGGATTATGGGTGCTCTGGTGGTGGACATAAGTGGTAACATACATGAAGAAGGTGAGCCTATACCTCTGAGTCACAGATAGTGCTGTAAACTGAGATCACCTCAATAAAAATTAATACAATTTTAAAAAAATGTATAGGACAAAAGACATGTTATTGAGAAGTTCATGTTCAATATGTCTGTGTACAAAAGGAACAGTAGACAAAGAGTCAACAATTTTGATGTGTTGTGTTGTAGCATATACAACATGCAAAAGTGAGGCAATCTGAGCTGCATCCTGAAAGATAAGTGGGACATGGGCGGGGAACCAGGGAGTGATGGGAACCAGCATTCCATCCGCAGGGAACTGGGTATTTACCGGCAAGGAGGCATGGGAGATATGGTGTGTTTGTGGAAGCCTGTATACAGGTCCATGGGGCTTCGGCATAAGGTCCCAGGGAGAAAGTGAGGGACGGAATGGCTGAAAGGTAGGACGGTACAGACTGCAGTTTCTTGTGATGTTCAACATTGAGGCTTATAGACATTAGAAAAGGGGTGCTCTGTGAGGGTAGTAAAACAAATGCCTCCTATTCCAACGTCATGGGAAAACAGAGAAAATGAAAGGAAAAGATAATGATCAATGATCTAGACTTTACTTTCAATTTTAATTAATGTTGAATGTTGGTTTCAACAGTGTCAGGGCTCCCATGTGAGTACATGGTATTTCCCGAGGGCAGTACTTTCCAGACACTAGCGGCGGAAATGAGACTGAGTATGGCGCAGTCTGATAATTCAGCATGGAAGAGGAAACTAAAACAAGCACTTGCGCTTTTCTCCCACCTCTACTACGCAAACTCAAAGTTGTCATTTAGTAAAGTCTAATTAACAGAGGCATCCCAGATCTCACAAAGCAATATTCCTAGTGTCTCGCCAAGCATATTTCTAAAATGGGGTGATCAGTGAGCAGCAGAGATTGCATGTCTGTGAACCACCCTGCCCCAGTTTGGTAATGGTTGATTCCAGAGAGGTAGCAACTGTCCTATTCCACTCCACTGCCAGCAAGGCTGAGTCTCAAGGCCAGTCACACGATAGCTTTGTGCAACTTCTGCATTCCAAGATGTTTCTGTTTAGTTCCTCTCTTTGAAACCTGGGCATGCCAGCCTGATCCAGCTCAGAGCTGAGCTTAATCACACATCCCACTCACATCACATCGCACTGTCTCAATCACCCACTTTGGTACTGCTACCTGGAGGCACCTCCAGGAGGGGGTGATAATGCTCCAAGCTGGCAGAGATGTTCATTTCTACAACTTTCACAAAGGAAAGGTATTTCACTGGTAAATTATCTTGTAGTTTTTCAGTTAGAAAGGATATCCCTTGAATAACAAATCCCTAGAAAGTTGCAGCTTCAACACAAAAACTGAACACATGCAAAAGCAATGCTATGTGGAAACAGTCCAAAGGTGATTCTGAGATGCAAACTCTCATTTCCAGAAACACCACCACCCGAGAGTGTTTCCTACCTAACGAGTACTGAATCAAAACAGCCCACATGGAACCAAGAACATCCTTGTAAGCAAAACCAGCAGGTGACTGACCCTTTTTAAATGACTTTTAAAAGGTCTCTGTAGAGCCCTTCCTGGTGGCGCAGCAGGTTAAAGCACAGCACTAAGAAGCTAAAGTCACTTCAGCATGAGTTTGATCCCCACCCTAGAGGTGACCACATGGCGCAGCAGACCTCTCCTGAACCACCAGCTCCTCCCCCAGCAGTGTACTTCATCAATCGGCCTGTTCTGCTCCCCACTCTGTCTCTGGTGAATCCTCTCACTGCCCCTGCACCTCTGGTCTGCACCCTAACTCTTATTTATGCATAAATAAATCTTTAAAAAAAATGTCTTTGTATTGGACCCTCCCTGGTAACATAATGGGTTAGGACACAGCACTGCAAGCAAGCTGCAGCCGCTTCAGTGTGAATTCAAGCACAGGCCTGGAGGTGATCCACATGGTGCGGGAGACCTCTTCTGACCCTCCACTGCTCCCCTCAGCAATGTACTTCATCGATCTTCCTTCCTGCTCCCCACTCTGTCTCTGGTGAATCCTCTTACCACCCCTGCACCTCTGCCCCAGTTCTGTAAGCATAAATAAATAAATCTTAAAAAAAAAAAAGCCTCTGTATTAATGCCATTGATGCTACTATTGTTACTTAAAGGAGGAACCTATTACCCCATGTTGTGGTCACTAAAGGGAAACTATTTTAGACAAGCTGTTGTACAGAATATAAAATATGCACAAGAACTTACTGTGAAAGAGTTGAAATAAAATCAGCTTCAGTATTCCTTTGGTGACAATTAATAGTTATAACACCTTGGCCACTGTGGCATTCTGTTATCTTGAAGGAAAAAGCCATTTTGGACAAATGAAAGCTGAGAGTAAAGCTAGGTTTTCATCTGAAAGAAGGTAAAACTGGGTAGATTATTTACTAAAAGAAGACCCAGTGATATACAAGTGATCACATTGATACTCAACATCCTAATAACTAGTGGGGCAAATGAGGACAGACTCTCCACTGGCAACCTCTTTTCATCCCCGAGTTCACCACAGTTCACCCTAAACCACTGAATCTCTGAGTAGGCCTGCCAAATGTTGTGCCACTGAACATTTACCATTTAAATCACCTGTTCTTGTCTATTGTGCCCCTTCTGTTATCCCCCACACCTACTCCACCCCCAAAATCATAAGCTCCGGAGGACAGCAACCTGCTCTCTGGGAACCCCACGGTTGCTCAATGCCATGCCTCCCCCCTCCCCAGCAGAGGTAATTTCCCCGCAGAATTCTGCTGTGCTGAGTGTCAGCAGCATCCCTTTAATTTAAGATTCTAGCACATTCTTAATCCTCTATATATCTGTATTTCAAACTCTTGAGTAATTAAAAAGATTTTTTCTCACACAACAGCTAGAATCCATGTCCTAAATAATCAAGCCTAAAAACTAGCCATGACTCGACACATATGAAATAGCCAAGTTAGAGCATAATCATTTCTTTCCAGTGCAGTGACCTTTGGTTTTAGCATACCCATGGATTATTAGGGCTCTGACTCTTTTCAACTAAAGAAAGACAGTGTGAGCAGAACACTCAAAATGGTGAGTGCCATCAAAACAAGTTCTGTAGATATGAACTGGCTAAGTTAATCCTCCATTATATCCATTAGCTAGCAATGTATATAACTACTATTCTAACAGATGTGGACATTTGAATTATTAACTTTCCCACAGACTCCAAATCTTCAATAAGCAGTTTTCAACAATTCATTACATTAATTATTTCTGTTACCACACTTATTAACTAAACATGAGATTAAATGCCTCCATGTTACAAACTGTCCAATAGCATCTTTAATATAATTTGGTTCCTTTTAGATATTCTAATTATAACGGTAACTTTAAATGCTATTATAATAAATTTCAATTTAACCACTAGATTTGTAAGTAATCAGTATAATAACAATTCAATTTCAATATGTAATGAGGTAAAAATAGTTTATAACAGAAAGTGTAAAATACTTAGAAAGTTAACATATTTTGTAAATTTTATTAAGAAATTAACATGTATTTTGATATCCATAAGAAAAAGTACAAAGAATGATTTAATAAATTATGACATCATATTTCTAATCAATACTTTATATTTGGCTTGATTTGTTTGTAGAGTGTGTAAATTCAATGTTTATACAAACAACTATAGCAAAAACCATACCTGACCCCCCCAAAGGCAAATAAATTCTATCAGAAAAAGCAAGTGAATTATGAAAGTTGAAGTATAGCTTTATATATGCACAATGAAAACTGTGTTAATACCACCAGATTTGAACTTTCAAGCAGTTCTTAAGACTAGGATTTTTAAAGTTATCTAGAGTTACCACCACAGCCTACTGCACCAGGATCTACCTATAAATTTTGACTTCTGGCACTATTTAGTTCTTTAGATTCAGGAGGGGAAAATAATAATTAAAAGCCTCATAATTCATCATATTAGATACATGATATGTAATCATGGAGCTTATTCTTCCATAGGGTATTGTAGTTGAAATAAATTATTTCATAGTACCATGTCAATCAAGATACTAAAATAAGTATTTGAAAATTTGGAACTCACTAAAATATCAACACTGGAATTCACTAAAGCTAATAATTATAAGAAATCTATATATTTGTACACTGGTTTTGTGTTTGTGTATGTGTACACACAGGTTTCTATCAGCATGGGATTTTTATGTATCTAGCAGTTTTCTGCCTTTCTTAATGCTATATTACTGATGATTTAAAGAAAACATATAGAATCAAAGCAAAGAAAATAGGAACAAAGGAGTTCTGCATTTCTAGTAATTCCTTTAGTCACTTTCAAAGCATTCATGTCATGAAACATGAATAAAGGAAACAGCTCTTTGCATAAATATTCTAAGTCATATTTTCTTTTTAAGATTTATTTATTTATGCACACAGAGCTGGAGTATAAACCAGAAGTGTAGAGGCAGTGAAACGATTCACCAGAGACAGAGTGGGGAGCAGGACAGTCAGATCCACTGAAATGCGCTGCTGAGGGGTGCAGCGGACGGGTCAGGAGAAGTCTGCTGCGCCATGTGAGTCACCTTCCGGAGTTGGGGATTGAATTCTGCACTGAAGCGGCTGTAGCTAGCTTGCAGTGCTGCATCTTTACCCGTTGTGCCACCAGGGAGGGCCCCTAGGTCATATTTTCAAACAATTTAATGATTTTAAGATGTAAGAACATGGTAAGATTACACCTGCTCTCCCCGCCCACCTACCTCCTGGTCGTTCATGCTCTCCATCAGTGTGCAGAAGCATAGCAATGGGCATCCCCACATTCTTCGATCTTCCAGCAACAACCACATTTTTTCCAAATGTTTCAATTCCTTAAAATACAGGATTTGATTTGAATGAAAAATTAATGAGAAAGAAATTAAACATTTGAAAAGCCAATCAAAACATTCTTTAAAACTTTTCAACGAAATTTGGATGTTTGGTTGACCTGTCTATAATGTGTCCACATTGTTTAAAAATATTTCAGTGTAAATTGCTTGGATTTAGCATCAATTCTCTGATAGTGAACTCATTAACCACCACAAATATTTTTAAATTGACATTAAATTACTTTTAAATATTAAGTTTTCCATTTGAAATTAGAAAGCACAGAGACTTAAAATATGTTAAAATAAACACTCGTTATAAATTAACTAAAGCACAATAGAGTGAAACTTAACTGACAATCAAATTGTGAGCAAATTTGCTCAAAATGAAGTGCAAAAAAAGTTGTTTTACCAAATTTATGCATTATAATTGACAGGAGAGAAGCAGTAAACTTATGGTCTTAGAAAGGCATGGAAGATAAACCTTGAAGATTTAATACTCTTTACCTCTTTTGAGCATAGCTTCTTCATAAGAAAAATAAAGAAGTTAGAATAAAAGTGCTTCCACATACAATCTAATAGTGTGATTCTCGAACCTGTTTTCTCAGTGGAAGTTTTGTTTTATTATATTTAGAAAACATTGTATGAGAAAGGAGATGATAATGCCACAATGGAAGTGACAGTGATGGAAACAGGAAAACCATCTATATAAAAGGCAACGTGAGGTCAATTAATTGAGTCAGACACTTACAGATTTCTGAGAATACTCCTGTATTTAGAGCACAATTCAAGCAGAGTTACCATGAAAAGTTAGGTTCTATAAAAGGATTCAAATATGTTCAGCACATTTTGTTTTCAAAGGTCAGAATAAAAATACAGTAACTTGAAGTTCAAAAATAAGGAGACAAACCTACTACTTGAAAAATTCACTGATTAAAAGATGTAAATCAGTTACATGTAACCTGGCATGTATTCTTCATTTTATTTTGACTTGTCCTTTGACTTCTGTAACTTTCTCTCTTTCTACAGATGGAAATTTTCTGGTTTATCATGTTCTTAAGAGAACTGAGCTGTTTCCATGTGCAAATGCCCTGCTGAATACTTACCACCCATAGCCCATACAGCACAAGTTACCAACCTGTTCTTCTGAGGATTTCCCAAACTGCACATGCCGTGGCAGGTATGAGACAGTGCTGGTCAAGGCACAGTCTTCCCATGTTGATGATGTGAAATCCATCCACATCTTTCTCAGGGGCAATTCCATTGCATACAGTTCGCTCATCCACGTGGTCTAAAAAGTAAATAAAATCGCTCCAATTGTACAATGATTATTAATACAGAAATCTAGAAAATGAAATCTGAGGGCTATAGTCAGATCACTTTTTTTTTTTTAATTTACTTATTTGTGCATACAGAACTGGGGTACAGGCCAGAGGCCAAGGGGCGTCGAGAGGCTTCACCAGAGACAGAGTGGGGAGCAGAACAGGCAGATGGATGACGTACACTGCTGAGGGGAGCAGCGGGCGGGTCAGGAGAGGTCTGCCACGCCATGTGGTCACCTCCGGGGCAGGCGGGAATCGAACTCATGCGGAAGGGGCTTTAGCTTCTCAGTGCTGTGCTTTAACCCGCGTGCCACCAGGCCCTACAGTCAGATCAATTTTAAGTTAGTTTTAATAAAAGTGTAAAATCTTGATACTTCATTTTCTTGCCAGCAAAAAAGTAAGCCAAATTGTACTTGCTTGATAGAGATAATTAACTTCTGTACCAGTGTATGTAATTACAGGACCAGAAGTGACAGGCCTGGTCAGATGGAAAATTTCATGAAATAAAAAATTCATCAATGAGATCTGGGGAAAAAACACAAGTAATACGTCTTTGTCTTAATAAGTTTTCAAATGTAGAGGGTTTAAATGTATATTTTTCCTCTCTAAGACATTTTCATGAGTAGACATCTATTAAATATTTCTATCATGACAAGTTAACAGGTTATTGTTAATATGAAAACAGTCATAACTTCATTAGTGCTTAGGTTCCTACTGAGAACATAGCAAAAAGAAACAAACACAATATCTGCCTGAAACATTGGCACAAAGGAATCTAAAATATCATTGTGGTTTCCTACTAAGAAGAAAAAGAACATGACTTGAGTAATGATGTAATAAATTAGAAATGAAGGACATTCATCTCTTTCTGAAAAGCAATAAATGACTTTTACTACTCTATCAAAATACTTAGATTATCCTAAGTCCAACAATTAACTCACATACATAGCATATTGAAATAAAGTTGTAATTGCAACGTAACATTTCTTTGTGCATACACTATGGATGCCATTTAGATATTTAAGATAAATATGGCTAAACATAAAAGATAAAACTAGTTTCTAGGTGAAAACTTAGAATTTCTGTGCTGGGGCAATGTTTTCTTAGATCATAAGAAACACAGAACATTAAAAAAAATTAGACTCAGAAAAATTAACCTTACACTCATCAAATCTTATGCTTTCTTTTTTAAAAATAATATAATAGTTTATTTTTACATCATTTTGTACATTTTTCTATCTCAGTTGTAATCCCCATGGTTTTCCCATCACCCATCACCCATGTGCCATCACCATAGTCCAATGCACTTCCCACCCCCCACTGTTTTTGAACCCATTCGCCACTCCACCCCTGTAAAATGCCTGTGGTATATAGTTGTTCATTATTATTATTATTTCCTTGCTTGGTCCTTTATACCCCTGCTATGAGTAATCTTATGCTATCTTTCTTTCTTTCTTTCTTTTTCTAAAGATTTATTTATTTGTACATATAGAACTGGGGTACAGGCCAGAGGCCCAGGGGCGGCGAGAGGCTTCACCAGAGACAGAGTGGGGAGCAGAACAGGCAGATCGACGAAGTACACTGCTGAGGGGAGCAGCGGGCGGGTCAGGAAAGGTCTGCTGCACCATGTGGATCTCCTCCGGGGCAGGCGGAGATGGAACTCATGCGGAAGTGGCTTAAGCTTCTTGGTGTGGCACATTAGCTTGCTGCGCCACCAGGGAGGGCCCCATCTTATGCTTTCTTAAAGACACTTCTAAGAAAGTGCACAAGCAAACCAAAGATTGGGAGAAAATATTTGCAAAACAGGCATTTGACAAAGAACTTAAATGCATATATATAAAGAATTTGCAACACTAGATCATTTTAAATAAATAATTCAGATTTTTAAATGAATTAAATATTTAAATAGACACTTTACAGAGGAGGGTAATCAAATGAGCAAAATGCATATGAGAAAAATCAGACAGAGCAGTGGTGCTTAATGGTGAGGCTGAAAGTTAGGGACAGGGATTCGGACCACAAGGCCATCTTCCTTTGATTTTCTATATTTTGGGAACTTCAATTTTTTCAAAACTTTATGGAATCATACACCTAAGATAGTTCATTTAAATGCATGAACTGAGAGCTAACATAAATTATTGATAAAATTTCACATAAAAATGAAATCTTGTAACTCACTGAAGTTTCAGGGTATATTATGTTAACTTTAAATACCTTAAAAGTAATATAGGGGCCCTCCCTGGTGGCACAGCAGGTTAAAGCACAGCACTAAGAAGCTAAAGCCACTTCAGCAGGAGTTCTATCCCCACCTTGGAGGTGATCCACATGGTGCCGCAGACCTCTCCTGACCCGCCCGCTGCTCCCCTCAGCAGTGTACCTCATCAGTCGGCCTGTTCTGCTCCCCACTCTGTCTCTGGTGAATCCTCTCACCATCCCTGCACCTCTGGTTTATACCCCAGTTCTGTATGCATAAATAAATAAATCTTTTTTTTTTAAAGTAATATCAATTGATGAAAGAAAAAATGATAATTACGTGACAACAGCATGCAGCACAACAGGTAAGCAATTACCAACTCTAGGTTAGGGGCAGACGAGTCATCACTGTCCCCTCTTTTAAGATTTCATAATAAGCTGTTGAGGTGGAGAAACAAAACTACATATTACCCTCAACATGCCAACCTGCTTTACTAACCTCTCTTTTTTCTTTTTTTCTCCCATAGCATATAAAATTCCAGTACACACACTTGCTTACCTAGTACTTTCATTTTTTATTGCCTACCTCTACGACTATTCCACAAGGGCAGAAACGCTCATCCTTGTTTTCACTTCTATGTTTTTAGCATAAAGAATAATGTCTGGGACAAAGGCATTGTGGAATGTACATATTGAGTAAGTGACTATAAGTGCTCTTGATTTATAGATAAACTCAAACAAAATTAGTGAGCAGATGGGGAACAGTAGAATAGACTACCATAACAAAAAGATGGCTTATCCTTCAGGAACCTCTGACTTCAACTTTTTAAAGCATAATGAAAAACCAAAGGTGGCTGTCACTGAAATCTTGGCTTGTCTGTGTCTCTGCATCTACATGAATAGGTGCCATTATTCTATCTGACAAACTCTAATGGAAAAGAGTCATGTTTGTTTGTTTTCCATTCCTTTTAGGACTTGAAAACTAGACATTTCAAGCAAAGTTTTATGCTAATAGTTTCAAGTTCACACTCTGAATGTGAACATAAAGCCCTTGAGAGTTCTTTTACTAGGTGGGTCTGTGGCACAATGGGTAGCACATTGGACTTCTGGTGACCAAAATTCACTTATTCACACAATGAATATATAATGTGTCTCTACCTCATGCCCAGTACTGTTTAGTGACTGAGGTAAATAAGTGAACCAAAAAAATGGAATAAATGCAAGACTAACCAAATGATTTGACTATTGCCTCTTAAGGAGTTAATTGTTTCCAAGAAGTAAATGAGAGATACTTTTCAATGAACAATACTAAGTTACACCCTCCAAGTTCCACATTATGGTTTCAAAGCAAAAAAATACTTACCAGGTTCCTATCACTTGCCCAATCTCATCAACGACTTGTTTCATCATTGTGGAGTAAGGGGAGGCAAAGGAATGGGAAGGAACTCTAATCATAGCATACTATTCCTCCCCCAAATTTGAGTATACAGTAAAGCAAGGAGGTGGAGTAGGAGGTGTTGTCTAGACTAGCCAGGAGTGATGGGCTCCCCACCCTTCTCTAGTACTTTCCCCTTATAGTCACAGAAACTCCCAGTACAACCCCAGGCAGAGTTACTTCACAGGCTACATTAAAATAATAATAAAAAAAATTTACTGAAGTTGGAACTGACACAAGCACACAAAGTTTGCTACCTTTGCCCTACATGATTCACTGGACTGATGTGACTGTTGCATGGAAATCCAAAAGCTTATTCTTCAAAGCTTTGTTAGTGACACCCTCATTTACTAAGGCGTTGGTTTCCTATGCACGAGATATACTGATTTCTATCAAATATACTGTACTGCATTCAAAGCATATATTCCATAGGGGAAAACACTCAGATAAGTATGTTATTCTAAATAAGCTCATTTAGCTCATGAGAAAGAGAGGCTGTGCTTGAGGGACTCCGCTTTCAAACTTCTTAGGGGTAATTAGTCCTCAGTTGTTTTATATTCTTAAAAAATATATGTATTTATTTATCTATCATTCATTCACTCATTCATACATTCATTCATTCATTTATATATGAGAACTGGGGGTGAGAGGATTCACCAGAGACAGTGGGAAGCAGAACGCTGAGGGGAGCAGTAGGCAAGACAGCTTTTTCTATTAACAAGCTATTATGTCCCAAATGAGCTGATAAAAGGTAATCTTCAATCCTATTTTTACAATGTTGAAAAATAATTCAACAAAGTATCAGAAAGCTAGATTATAAACTGTAAACATTGTATAAAGCGTTTATGTCCACAGCTGAACAGCATCTTCTAGAAGCAAGTATGGAGCAGTCACTACAATCACTAATGGAAGACACAAGCCATTTTTAGGCGCACAGTATGTTGAATATCTGTCTTTACTCTATTGTTATCATTTCGAAATTTTACCAAAAGGGAAATTATGAATAAAGACAGAAATGTCGGGGCCTTCCCTGGTGGCACAACAGGTTGAAGCCCTTCACTGCAAGCGAGACACGGCTGCTTCATTGCCAGTTCAAGCCCGGGTGGGAGCTGACCCACATGGCCCAGCAGACCTCTCCTGACCCACCCGCTGCTCCCCTCAACAGTGTACTTCATCAGTCCGTCTGTCCTGCTCCCTGATCTGTCCCTGGTGAATCCTGTCACCTCTCCTGCACCTCTCTCCCTGTACCCCAGTTCTGTATGCATAAATAAATAAATCTGATTTTAAAAAAAGATGGAAACGTCATGATTTAGCAGGAGAAAATCATTTAAAAAACCAGCCATATGAATGGAATCACAGAGACCAGACAGAAAATCACAGAAATAATCTGGTAGAAATAATGCTTTCATGCAGCAGGACCTAGTAGGTGAGTGTTTGAAAATATTATGCTTTATGGTTTTCAGAAACACTAATAATATAGGCTGATGAACAATAAGAAGATAGACTCTAGATTCAGACTTCCCGATTTGGGTCCTGGGCCCACGATCATTAGCAAGTTATATTGGGCAATTCATGTCGCCTCTCTGTGCTTTAGTCTTTTCTTCTGTAAAACGAGAAGCTAATTCCTCTCAAATGATTATTTTGGAGACTAAATAAAATCATCCATATAAAGGAATACCTGCCACAGGCAAGAACACCTTTCTCACTAGCGAGGGCTGGTACGGTGGTAAGAGCCCTAAGTTAACACTTGAAGGAAGTGGCATGAGGGACCCATTGGCTGCATTAACACCCAATATAATTACTCACCAACTCTGAGACCATGTGAGAAGTTATTAACCTGCCTGTGCTTCTAACAGTAATGTATATAATATAATATATAAATGTAATATATATAATATAATGTACATAATATAATATAATGTATATAATAATTGTTCCAACACTACAGTTTTACTATGAAAATATAATAAGTTCATAAATGTAAAGTTCCAGTGTGATATTTTGGTCAAATCCCAAAATAAATTGTAGCCACTGTTATTTTTTATCTTATCTAGCTTTTCAGCTTGATAAGAAATTTTTCTTTCTCTAGGCAGTATATTTGTTAGCTCCCTTTGGCTCTCAAAATGAGCACAGAACTCAGCAAGTTTAGTAAAAATAGATCACTAGTGCCATCTAGTGGATAGCTTCTAGCAAGGCATTCAAATGTGGCCCTTAAATTCAAATGTGAATATATTATTTCAGTACAATAAATTCTATAATATTTAAGACTAAAAGACTAAATTTAAAAGTAATTATCTGGAAATGTCTGACATGTTTTATATAACTGTTCTATTCACATAAGTACAAGTGGGAGAAATTTCAAAAAACATAAACGAAAAGAATATTGGCAAATACAATATAAACAAAAGGGTTTTTTGTGTTTTGTTTTTGCATTAGACTATTGGATTTAAGCACACTGCCCAAAATTTGGCTGAAGAATTGATGTTAAAAAGCCCCTGACTGTTTTCTAGCCCTCAATCCCCAGATATGAAATACGAATATTTTGTGTTGTTATCTGGTTCAAACATAGATAGCAAAGTGCCTTACCCCCTTGTCTCCCAGTGACAAACTCACATGAGATTTTACAAAGATGAATAAGTGAACAGGTAGAATTAACCTATGAAAGTGCAGCAAAAACAATGTGATGATGCCAGAAGCGAAATTGGATCTGAATAAAAGACCTGGAAATGATGAAAATAAAGCTAAGAGAACAGAGAGCTAGGACAGCAAGAAAAGGAGGTGAGAACTATGAATGTGGAAAACAAGATAAAATAGTTTCAGTATGATTCTAACTAAATATGACATGAAATAGGCAGCCTGGATATGGTGTCCTTTGACTAGATGTAGCTGTTGGCACTTAGTGATGGTGACCTGACAACATTAACTAGAAAGTGTTGGTGACAAAAACGACAGTAGTAGCCCAGAGTAAGTGACATCAGAACAAAAGTTCATACTCATGGAACTGTCCGCTATTTGAACACTGAAAGTACAGAAGACAAATGTTGGAAGTCAACTGAAACTTTGACCATTCATGGATTCACTAAGACATAGAAAAGAGATTTATTCCCTGCTGTAACTTACCTTGACATGTTTTTTTGTCAAGAAGTAAAACTCTAAATGAATTATTGAAGCTCAATAATTCTAATTTTTTCAGTACAACGTATTGTAAAAAAAAAAATAGTTTTACTATTTCTCAGTCCCCTGTACATATATAAATCTCAGTAAGAGCTTCTAAAGTTTTGAGAAAATATTTCAAAGGTCACAGAGCAATTTGTTGTTTTTCATCAGTTAAGTTCACATTGCCCAGTTTCATCATGCACAGACTAAATTTTTATGCCTCTGCATGGCTATGCAATGCAAGAACTGCATATCTTGCCAGTACTTATTAAAGTTTTTTTTTTATATAAATTCAGTCATTGTATGCATAAGTCATTGAGAAACTGCCACCTATTACATGCTAGTAAGTCAGTTACTGTATCAGCCTTCTGAGAATATTTTGGAAATCAACATCAGTGACATGACGTGATGTTAAAAGACACCCTTTCGGGCTCTCCCTGATGGCGCAATGTGTTAAAGCACTGCATTATGTAGCTCTCCAAAGCCACTGCAGCATGAGTTCGATCTCTTGTCAGGGAGCTGACCCACATAGCGCAGCAGACCTCTCTGATCTGCCCTCTGCCCCCCTCAGCAGTATATCTCAGTATATCCGTCTATTCTGCTCCCCGCTCTCTCTGGTGAATTATCTCACCCACCACATCTCTGGCCTGAACCTCAGTTCTGTAAACATAAATAAATAAATCTTTAAAAAAAAAAAGATACCCTTTCTCTTAGCCAGACATAAAGAAGAGCATCTGTACCTGGCAGAGGTAGCTGAACTAATATACCACTGACTCTTGAGTCCATGTTCAACTGATCGGTTATATCCAACAGTTCTTCTTGAGAAACATCGTTAGGTTTTAGAATGATCTCACTACAGATACCTGAAGGAAAAACACAGAAAGTCACTTGACTGACAAAGGTAGATTTTTCACAAACAGTAACATGCAGGGTATGACTGGTTTCCTGTGCTCCTGATCCACTGAAATGAAAGGCACCATCAGGAGGGATTTCTCAAATAGAGGCGGTGTTTTCGTGTGATTCGCATGCATTCTGTGAACCAGGCAGCAAATCGCACTTATTTGTGGCAGGTTATTGTTAGTAGATTTGAAGAGAGTAAAATCACTAAAAAAGATCACCACTAGCACCATTAGGCCAAGTTTGACAAACTGAACAAACCAGGTTTATCATATGACTAAAACAAGTTTAATAAAGACAACAACTTTAAATGTAAAGTGCTGGGGCCTTCCTGGTAGTACAGGGGTTAAGTCTCAGCTCTCTCAAGCTATCACCAGCCCTTGCAGTATGAGTCCCATCGCAGGCCAGGGAGCTGACCCACGTGGTGCAAGCAGACCTCTCCTGTCAGCCGCTGCTCCCCACAGCCTGTTCTGCTCCCCACTCTGTATCTGGTAAATCCTCTCACCCTTGTTCTAGTATACATAAAGAAATAAAATAAATATTAAAATAAAATATAAAAATGTAGTGTTCCTGTCACCATAGGATCTGAAATCGCACAGAATTATATCTCTAGAAAAAAATTGAAGAAAAAAGTGAAAGTAAATATAACTCACCAAGTAAACTTACAATATGCTATACTAACACATATATCCAAATGGCACATTTTTGACAATTATCATTCATAATGATCACACTCTGAAGTACAGTCAGAAAACATGACTTAGTGCCAGTTAGAACTAAATGTGCCCACCTACAGCAGAGGCAGCACTGATCTTCTTCCTGACATACGTATGGCTTGCTGGGTTATTACCCACTAAGATGATGCTGAGATGAGGTCTTCTGTTCCCCAGGGAAATCCATGATTCCACATCTCCCTGTATTTCCTTCTGGATTTGTCTGGCCATTTCAGTTCCTGAGATGATAATGGCATCATGCCTATAAAAAACAAGAGAATAAATGTAGCTCTACAAATGTAATAAATAATTTAACCTCATAAATGTAAGACACAAAAATAAACAAGCCAGTAATGATTCTCCGAGTGAGCAACCAAAATTCATTTTTGTCAAGTATACTTGATACCCATTCTTCAGGCTCATCAAAAAATTTCCTAATTTTGTGAAGGATATCAACTTTGATTTTTAATTTTACATTATAATTTATAATATTTATTGCTTGGTAACTTTTACATATATTTTAATCACACAAACCACCTACTCAAGTTGTGGGGAAGCCCTGCTGGTTTTTCAGGAAAGGCCATTTTTAGTTAAAAGCAGCACCTATCCTCAAAGGCCCACACCATGCTGCATATTAGTCTCATGATGCAAAAGTTAAGCCAATTCACGCTTAGTTGATGTATCCTGTACAGAATCCTAAAGTCTAGATCTAAGGGAAACAATGTCCCATGACCACAACTCCATGACCACAAATGCTGGTCTTGCCATGCTCATCATTTATTACGGTAGGGACCAGGTCAGCAAGCAGGTGGCTCACCTGCTTATTCCCACACCATGACATCATTGTTAATGGAAACACTTTAACAAAACATTGCTTCCTTGCAGATTATAAGTACTTACGGAGATAAGGAATGCTATATTTTGATAGGTGATATAAATCTATTTCCAGAACAACACAAAGAAATGCTTTCTGGAAAAGCTTTTCTATTCTCCATAATGTCAGCCTTAAAAGTTGTGTGTTATGTTGCTCTTACTGTGTTTCTATTTCTTAAGTATACTAGATAAAGTATCAGATGGTTCTTTCTTCCCGTTGCCATCCAATCAGTATTGAAAATTCTAAAGAAAGCATGATCTGTAGCATATAGTTATTATACCAAATGCTAAATTCAGATCAATGAATATGGTAAAGAAGATGAAAAGGAGGAGGAAGAAGGGCCAAGACAAAAAGAGAAGAGAAAAATCCAATAGCATTTAAACTTCTCCAGTTCCTGTGAATTTTGTTTTTTAAGGTGGCAGACATCAGGAATGTCAGCCAAAACACAAATTGAGAATTTTGTGCCCCTTCCACAGATGAGTAGAATCATCCTATAATTGTCTTTCACTTTCTGATTTATTTCACTTAACATAATTTCCTCAGGTTCCATCCATATTTTTGTAAAGGCATGATTTCATTTTTTTTAACAGTTGAGTAGTGTTCCATTGAGTGTATATACCACAATTTTCTTATCCAGCTGTTTATTGATGGACATTTAGGTGCATTCCATGTCTCAGCTGTTGTGTATGATGCTATGAATCATAGGTTCATAAATCTTGTCATATTAGTATTTATATATTCTTTGGCTAATACCTAGAAGTTGCATTTTTATTTGTAGTTTTCTAAGGAATCTCCCCACCATTTTGCTGTAAGGCTACCCTAATTTACACTCCCACCAATAGTAAACGAGTATTCCTTTTTTGTCACACCCTCACCCCAGTATTTGTTGTTTCCAGTCCTTTCAATATATGCTATTCTCACAGGTATAAGGTGGTATCTCATTGTGGTTTAGGATTTTATTTCCCTTATCATTGACAGTGGCAGCCTTTCATGACAAATCAAAACCACCATGTGGGATTCAGTTCAGGCTTGTAATGTTGGTTTAACATAAACATTTACCACCTTGACCAAAAGAAGAAAAGTCACATGATGATCTCAACAGATGCCAAGAAAGGACACTTGACAAAATACAACACCCCCTTATGATAAAAACTTTCAAAAAATCAGCAATAAGTGGAACATACCATAATATAATAAAGGTCATGTATGACACCACAACTAACATCAATGGTGAAAAACAAAAAGTGACTTCCCTAACGTCAGGAATAAGAAAATATGTTCACTCACACCACTTTTTTTTAACACAGTATTTGGAAGTCCTAGTCAGGGCAATTAGGCAAGAGTTCATTCTTATAGTAAAGGACAACCACTTGTATTTTAAAAAACTAACTACTAAATTCTGTTATATTTTATAGCTCTGAAGAACAATGCTGCCGCTGACCTGTTTCATTAGCTTATTTTCTTTTAAACACAATAATTTGTTCATAGGCTATTGTGAAACTGGCATCACTTAACCTAATCCAGGATAAGTAAGACCTCAACATCTCTGACAATGTCACAGATGACAATGGGATAAACCATTCCTGAGTTTTCAAAGAAGCAATCTATGTATAGATTAAATGTGACTACACCTTATATGTTGGGTTCGAGAGAGTTATTTAACATTATAGCACCAAAGTGCTAAGTCATCTTGATAATTATAGCCTGGCCTATTTGTTATAACACCCACAAAATACCACCAATTATGAATAGGGGCTTTGAGCATTTTGGGTAGCAGATGGCCCATCCCATTGGTTACTTCAGACACTACAAAGTACCAGCCCATTTGTGTGAACAAAAAAAAGATATGGATCGGGCCCTCCCAGGTGGCACAGCAAATTAAAGCACAGCACTAAGAAGCTAAAGCCACTTCAGCATGAGTTCGATCCCTGCCCCGGAGGTGACCCACATGGCACGGCAGACCTCTCCTGACCCACCTGCTGCTCCCCTCAGCAGTGTACTTCATCAGTTGACCTGTTCTGGTCCCCACTCTGTCTCTGGTGAATTCTCTCAGCACCCCTGCACCTCTGGCCTGTACCCCAGTTCTGTATGCCTAAATAAATAAATCTTTGATATATATATATATATATATATATATAAAAGGATCAATGAGGCAAGCTGGACGACCAATGGGAGAACATGTATATTTTCAGATGCTTGAAGAACTGGCACACATACACACTGACCAGTTCACAGAATGTACTAACAAATGATATTTTTAGCTGAAGTTCATTTTGTTAAACATAAGCAAGAATTCAAATGTTTAACTACAGAAGCATAGATCTCCTAAGAGTTCTCTCTTACTTGAATCTTTATCTGTACCATTTCATTCTCCACAATGTAGTCACTGATTTTCAAAATTTAATTTTGTAAGTTCCCTGGTTAAAATGTCTCACCACGGGCTCTCCCTAATGGTGCAATGGGTTAGGACCCAGCACTGCAAGCTGGAGGCAACTGCTTCAGTGCTAGTTAGATCCCCAGCTCCGAGGTGACCCACACAGCGCATCAGACCGCTCCTGACCCACCCACTGCTCCCCTCAGCAGTGTACTTCATCAATCCGCCTGTTCTGCTCCCCACTGTTTCTGGTGAATCCTCTCACCGCCCTTGTACCTCTGGCTTGCACCCCAGTTCTATATACATAATAAATCTTTAAAAAAAGAAAGAAGAGGGCCCTTCCTGGTGGCGCAGCAGGTTAAAGCACAGCACAAAGAAGCTTAAGCCACTTTTCGCATGAGTTCGATCCCAGCCTGCCCCAGAGGAGCTCCACAGGGCGTGGCAGACCCCTCCTGACCGGCCCACTGCTCCCCTCAGCAGTGTACTTCGTTGATCTGCCTGCTCTGCTCCCCACTCTGTCTCTGGTGAATCCTCTCACCCTCCGCCTTTCTGGCCTGTACCTCAGTTATGTATGAATAAATAAAATAAATCTTTAAAAAAAAAACAAGAGTTTTGACTAAAATACAAATTTCCTGCACCTTTAATGTCCCTGTATCAGCTCTCTTACATTCTTCCTTCTCTCTTTCCCCTCCAATCTGTTTCTCCAACCTGCTTCTCTTTTACTTACACAAATTTCTCAAGCTTCAGTTTGGTAGACATCCCAGAAAACATTCTCTGACCTCTTTATCCTGGGAACTATCTCTACTATAAGCTCTCATGCATCCTGCTCTTCCCTTTTCTCACGCATCCTGCTCTTCCCTTTCAGAGCAGCTTAAGTCCTTGTTGACGTAACTGCTACTAGCTTCTAAGCTGTGTAGGGCAGGAACTTTGTATTTGCTACAATCTATCATTAAAGCCTACCAGGAGTATTCTGCACAGCGTATGTATTTATTAAATATTTAAAGGCTGAGTAAAGAGCTAAATTGTTTAGTGTACTATAATTTGTTAGAATAATTGCGCAGCTACTAAAAATAGTAATTATAGAAACAGTAATATGTGAAAATATTCATCTTAGATATGTAAGGAATGAAATGAAAAATTGTACCTGCATAATTATAACTATTCAACTATTAATATGATTGAAGATTAAAAAGGTATATACAAATGGAGGGTGGGAAGTACACTGGACTATGGTGACCGCACATGGGCGATTTGGTGATGGGAAGCCCACAGGGATGGAAAAATGCACAAAATGATGTAAAAATAAACTATTATATATAAAAAAGGTATAAACAAAATAAAGCGGACAGGAATGTTCTAAATATCTTTCCGTCATGTTTCTTAAATGTTATTAAATCAGAATCTCTTGAATTATGTTGAAAGTGAACAAAATAGCTATAATACAGATGAGGAAAAAAGTGTTACAATTAGCAAAGTAATCATTGTTTAAGAAAAATACACATACTCATTGAAATCATCTAGGTATCTTTCCCCTATCCTAACCCTTAACTCTCTGCAGAGTTAAGCACATCCTGAAATTTGGGTTTATAATTCCACTATTTTCCTTTATCATTTCATCTAATACTTGTATCTTTAAAGATCAAAGACAAAATATATATATATATATATTGCATTATAATATAGATGTACCACACTGTATATTCATGCTATTTTATAACTATTATTTTATATTTCATAGCATTTTAAATCCTTGTATACATAATGTATGTAAGTATAAATGTATGTATATGTATAAACATATGTGTGTAAACACACAAACATATGTGTGTACACAAACATACTATTTCTCTAAGGGATGCACACAGAAATGGGATTGTTACATTACAGGATATGTGTAAGTATTCACTTTATGCTAACTTGTTTTCCAAAGTGGATGCCCTAGCCCACCAGCAGTAAATAAGTGTTCAGAACTCCCCTGCACTGCTGGTGGGAATGCAAACTAGTACAACCACTA